GGGGGGGGGGGGCCCAACCTGAAGCCTTTACTCTTGGCCTGAAGTAGGCTAACGCCTTGGTGGATTTAGCAACCCCCAGAATGCGACTTAGAGTGCGAGTTGTAACTGTGCGAGCTGGGGCGAGCCTTTCGTCGAGTGAGAGCCCCCCGGGGGACTTAGAGACCCACGTTGGCTAATTGCCTTCGTTTTGCAGAGGAAAGACCTGGGGGCCTTAGAGCTGAAAGGACTTGACCAAGGTCACTCATGTTGTACTAGAGAGACTAGAGGCAGATTTTGAATGCAGGGCTTCTGATTCCAAATGTGTTATCGTAGAAGGTCCATAAAAGACAGGCTACGCGAGAACATCTATCCAGTCTATAGATTCCCCATCTTTTCCAGCCCACCCCCCGTTTGCCTTGATTTCAGTAAACCTCAGAGCACTCCCTACTCAATATGAAATGAAATAAAGTTCACACCTTATCGCGCATATCCCCAGAAGAAATAAAATAGAGATCCATAAATACTAGGTGCTTATCCAATGCCTGTTGGCATAATTAACATGGAATAGTAGAGTGATTTACCAAATATTCCCATACCACTTGACAAACTTCTCCTACCCACTATGTACTCCATACATAATGCAGGTTGGGAACTTCTGATCTGGCCCAACCCCACCCCTCTTTTTACAAAGGGGGAGGAATAATCCTAGAGAAAGGATATGTCCCCCAAAACATAAAATGTCAGACCTAGAGGGTCTTTAGAACTTATAAATGGTCTTCTAACTTTATTGTTCATCTCCCAGGACACTCCATCCCCCTTTCTATGCCTTAGCACTGGTTATCCTCCCCCCTACCCCAGCCTACAGACTTGAAATGGCTCTGTTTCCCTGCCTCCCTGGCTTCCTTCAAATACCAACTAAAATTCTTCCTTCTGCTGGAAGCCTTCCCCAACCCCTCGGAATTCTAGTGCCTTCCCTCTGGTCATTATTTCTTATTCATTTTGTATATAGTTTGCTTTGTATATGTTTGTTTGCAGGCTGTTTCCTCCATGAGATTGTGCCTGGTACATAGGCACTCGATCTATGTTTACTGATTGATTTGGTTAATGTAGTCCTAGGCTCTTACCAAAGTGTCTGGATCTAGCCAGGCTTAGCCCTGGAGGGTGGAGGGGAAGGAGCTCCTTGGCTTAGCTGGGAAGTCAAAACCGTCCACAGGGGGTCGGCAGCATTAGAAGGACAGTGTCAAATGCAAGGTTGTAGGTTACAGACTGTGAGGGCGCTGGAGACCATCCTTTGAAGCAGGACAGCTTAAGGGATGGATGCAAGGCTGCTGTTGGAGCCAAAAGGATCTGTATCCAAATCCTACCTTTGACACCCTATAGGTCCTATAGGACCTGTAGTATAGGATCTGGGAGCCTGTGGGCAAGTCCCTTGACTCTCTCCATGTGGCAGACAAGTGAAGGGGTTTTCCATTCTGGGAGTTCCCTACAGGGATAAAATCACAGGTCCAGACCACGCCCCCCAAATGGTAAGGTTTAGGGAGGTGATTGTCTCAGTAACATTTTAGGGCCCTCTCTATCCTCAACGACCTTCTCTTTTCCAGCTTTAGTTCTAAGAATAGTAGTCAAATCAACACTCCCATCTCTGCAATAATAATAGTAGTAAAAATATAATTTTAGTGTTCAGTCATGTCTAATTCATTGTGAGCCTATGCACCATACTGTCTATGGACTTTTCTTGGCAAAAATACTGGAGTGGTTTGCCATTTCCTTGGCAAAAAAAGGTTGAGTGACTGGCCCAGGGTCACACAGCTAGGAAGTGTCTGGGGCTGGATTTGAGCTCAGTCTATCCTGATTCCAGGCCCAGTGCTGTATCTACCGAGCCACCTACTGTCTCCAGTAACAATATAATAGCTAGCATGTGTATAGTTCTTTAATATTTACAAAATGCTTTATAAAAATTCTGTCATTTATCCTCACAACAACCCAGGGAAGTTGGTGCTATTATTAGATGAGGAAATGAAGGCAGACAGAACTTAAGTGACTTGCCCGAGGTCGCAGAGCTGGTGTCTGAAGCTGAATTGGAACCCAGGTCTTCCTGACTCAAGACTCAGTGCTATGAATTGTTGTCTGATTCCAATCACCTTTCTCCCTGAATTCCCTGCCCAAAACACTCTTTCCAGGCCAGTACTCCTCTATAAGTGTTCTCTTCTTATGTTAGAATATATGCCCTTTGAAGTAAGAACTGACTTGCTTGCTTGTATTGGGGGGAGGTGGGGGCCATGGCTGCTCCCATCCTCTGATCCCTATGACCAAGGAGTTTCCTTCAATTTCTCCCTCCATCTAGCACATCTACCCTTCCTGCTCCTAGTGGAGAACCTCTCCCCATCGCCATCACATACCTTAGCATTTGCCAAGACCTCTCCTTTGCCCTGTCTCTCTGACCACTGGGAACAGGGTTATACTATATATTTATGTTTCTCCCTTAGATCTCTTGGAGAACTCCTACCACCTCACCTCATTCCCCTGTGACCTGAAGTCCTCAAATTCTATCTGCCTCTTGAAATCTTGCTCTTCCTTCCAGGGACCCCTTGAAGTGAACTTTTCCCTCATCTTCTCCCTCAAACCCAATTATTAGTCCTACCTCCCTTATCAAATTTCTTACAGCATTTTTGTTCCATCTTTCCTCTGCAGTGACCCTGTTCCATTTTGTATTAGTTGTTTCCATAAGTGTCTTTTGCCCCTAATTAGACTATAAGCTCCCAGTGTCATCTCTAATACCACCTTCTTCAGGAGGCCTTTTTCCACCCACCCACACCCTGTCCCCAGTCATTAATGCCTTCTCCTCATCACTCTGTATGTACTTTCTATGTACAAGTTACATCCCCCGTTAGAATGGAAGTTACTTGAGGGCAGGAACAGATTGGCCAACAGAATGTCCCAGGCCAAGCCCCATTTGATGATTGTCTAAGCTCTGATGGCTCATAGTGTATTTTAATAGCAATTGTTTCTGCTTTTGACCAGAAACCCCTGAGTCTTCCCCTCCCAAAGTGACTTTTTTTTTGGATTAGGTAAAAGAAGCCATTTTCTGCCACATTTCTTACCTAGCCTTAATCACTGAATGGGCTTTGTCTCAGTCAAACTAAGACTTGTTAAAGACCTTAGCTTAAAAAAACCAAGGTCCCCCACTGCTTCCTGGGCCATCTCCAGTTGTCCTGATTGATATCTGGCCACTGGACCCAGATGGCTCTGGAGGAGAAAGTGAGGCTGGTGACTTTGAACAGCCCTCCTTCACTTATATCCAATTCACTTGCAAGTCATGGCATCACCTTCCTGATGAACAAAGGGCAAACAGCAGCAGCAGCAACAGCCGTTCACCTGGAATAGCCCCCTCCCCTCTTCACCTTTTGAATTCTTTATTACTGTAGAGGGCACCACCATCCTCCCAGTCCCTCAATTTCACAACCCGGGAGTCATCCTGGATGCTTCACTCTCTCTCATCCCCCAGATCCAATCTGTTGCCAAAGCCTGGCCTTTTCACCTTTGCACTTTCTCTTCAATACACCCCCTTCTCTCCTCTGATACAGCCACCACCATGGTCATACTTGGACTATTGCAATGGCTGCGGCGGGGGGGGGGGGGCGGTCTGCCTCTCATGTCTCTCCTCACTCTAGTCCACCCCCCCCCATTCAGCCACTAAAGTGATTTTCCTAAAATATAGGTCCAATCATCATCACACCCACACACCCTCAATAAACTCCAGCGGCTCCTTATTACCTCCAGGAGCAAATACAAAAACCTCTGTTTGGCACTCAGAGCCCTTCATCTCCCAGCCCCTCCTACCTTTCCAGGCTTCTTATACCTTACTCCCCACCCCATACTCTGCACCAGTGACTCTGGTCTTCTGGCTGTTCCATGAACAAGACACTTCATCTCTTAGTTCCGAACATTCTCTCTGGCTGTCCCCCAGGCCTGGGACACTCTCCCTCCTCCACTTCAACTACTGACTTTCCCCCGGCTTCCTTTAAATCCCAACTAAAATCCTACGTCCTACAGGAAGCCTTCCCCAACCCCTCTAAATTCCAGTGCCTTCTTTCTGTTCATTATTTCCTCTTTATCCTAGCTTGCTTTGTATATATTGTATATATGCATTTTGTGTCCCCTATGAGATTGTAAGCTCTTTGAGGGCAGGGGCTACCTTTTCACCTCTTTTTATATCTTCAGAGCTTAGCATGTGGCCTGGTACATACTAGGCACTCAATAAAAGTTTATGGATTGGTTGTTCTTACCTGACCTTCAAATCCTAACTCAGATGCTCCCTCTTCCTGGGATCCTTCCCTGATCCCCACTGGCACTAATGAACTCAGGCAGCATTTGATTTGAACTTTTTGGATGTACTTCTCTGCAATACCGTTTGAAATAGTGCCCCATGTTGGCATCATTCCTTTCCTATACTGTAAAGTCCATGAGGACAGAGGCTACCTGAGTATGGTATGGTGTGAAGAATGTTGGATTTGGAATCAGGGCACCTAAGTTAAAATCCGGGCTCTGCCACTCACTGGCTGTGTGACCATAGACAAGTCCCTTAACATCTATCTCTGAGGTTAGAATGTCTTTTTTAAAAAAAAGAAGTATTTTAATCTTTTGTTTTTATATGACCTTCATTTCTGAATACATCTGTCCTTGCTTCCCTCCCCAGAGAGCCATCACTTGTAACGAAGTATAGA